TTCACACTGACTACACTTTTGGTTGCCCGGTTGACATGGGAGCATCATGGTATGTTGTACATCCAGTTTCTCTTCAGAATTAGTTTTCAGAATGGACTGTTTTTAGAATCTCAATCCCGTGTGGAGCACTATTTTTAAAGTAAGGGCTTGATTAATTTGTTTTGTGATGTGATCATTTTCATGATTGATGATGGCCTTAATGTATTATTTTCTGTTTTATTTTGAAGTTTTTTAAAATCATATTATGTTATAGAGAACTATCTCAAGAACTTTTTTTTGTCAGGCTACATGGGGTTTGTAATGAGAATCCTTTGGCTCCAATGATACGGCGCTTGGGCCTCAACTTATATCGTACAAGTGGTGACGACTCTGTGTTGTATGACCATGATCTTGAGAGGTAACTTTACCTACAAGCATATATCATCCAAAAGATAAGACCTATGAATCACTTAAGCACTTGTGGATCATCTAGTTGAAGACTTGAAGTTAAATTTGACAGCTCTAGATGGAGATTAATAAACTTTACTCTCCAGTGTTATTCTCTTATACCCATAAAGTATTTATCGTCATCATCTATCATTATTTGCAATTCAGTTTTTTTCTAGGTGAAATTTTCAGTTTCTGTAACCTTAGGGTTTGGTAACTGCACAGGCATAGCAGATTGATTGATTAGCTTAGGTTCATGGTTTTGTCAGGAAAAGAATTCATTGTAGTACTGGGATTACGGGATATTTAAGTAGAAAAATGGGACATGTTTCAGCTTCATCTACTGTTTCTTGTCTTGGTTTATTGTAACTGTTATATAATCTACTAATTCTTCGTATAATCCAATGTGTGATGTGTATATCATTGCATTTCCAGCTTTATGCTATTTGGCATTGATGGTAAGCAAGTTCCTCAACAGACAGTCGTTGAAGTTGGAGAAGCATTCAAAAATATTCTCAAAGAGGTTTCCTTGAATTTTCAGAATCTTTCATGAAGTTCCTTGTAAAGTCAATTGAATAACTCATTTGTTGTATCATATAGACTGAGAAAGTGAGGGATGAACATACACAAGACATGTCAGTTCAGGAAGCAATATCAATTGTAATGGAGAGATATCCAGAACTGAGGTATGCAAAGAGAAACTTTTGTGACATTTAATAATGCCTTGCGCTCCTTCCTTTTAAGCATGAATGTAGTTATGTAGTGTTTACATTCTTTATGCCATGTAGGCAAGATGGACTTGCACATGAAGTGCTACAGTGGTATATATGCAGAATGGAAGCATGGTTTGCTGCCGATGCAAATTTGATATCTCTGAAGACTTGGGATCAGGCAAGTTATCTAATTTCTTTGCTTTAAAAAAATACTACAAAAATCAAGATAGTTTCGCTATCACAGCTTTTGATTCTAAATTGGAAGTAAGATCAACAAGCTTCTCTCAGGCTCATATTTTTATTAAGGGCCCAAAATCTTTGAGACGATAGCCTGTTTCCCTCATCTCACCTCTTTTCTATTTGCCTCAATTATTTTTGATTTGTTTTATCATGAACGCCTTCGGGTGAAAACAATTCCAAGACCAAATTGAATTGTTATACCGATTGATTTAAGCAGCTTGCTGAGTATTTACTTCAAGTCTTCAACCATCGAGATTTTCTCTGTGGCCTGCTCTTTTGCTTTAACCCCTCTGTCTCTTGTTCTGAGTCTCCCAGCTTATGGGAACCTTTTGTAAAGTTGATTTAGGCTTAGTGAAGTTCATAAATGTAAGTTTATTTAATTATGGTCTGATGTTCAAAGCATGTGGTACTCAAACTAACCTGGGAATATACATAATTGTTGGGTTATTCGGTGAGAAGGCTTTAGAGCTTTGGGCTTTAAAAGCCCGGTCTGCTAAAGGGAAGAAACATGGGGGGCCGGTTTCAGTTATTAATTAAAGGCCCATTACTTGTTTCTTGTTTAGCAAGTTGTTAACCCTAGTTTATATCTTATAAATATCCAATCATGTAACTATAATCTGTGAGCACCTAATAAAAGATAAACCCTAGTTGCAACCCGTGGAGTAGGTTACTGACCGAACCACATTAAATCTCGTGTTCTTATTTTCTGCTATTTGTGTGTGTGTGTGTGTGTGTGTGTTTGTTTGCTTCCGCTTGGCCGCCTCTGATCTCTGATTCCTAACAATAATTTGTGTATGTATGCCTGAAAAGTACTCCTATAGTCTAGCTTTATTCCTTCTTATAAAGGTTGCAGCATTAAGGGCATCTGGTGTAAAACATTGCCACTATGCTTCTAGCAACAACTTGAAGCATTAATTTTAAGCAATTAATTAGCAGTTTAGCACTATAAATTTAATGCCCCCAACCCCAAGTTGGTATTAAGGTGCTTCCGTGCTGATAATGATATTCTATTACCTAGCTTTTCTCAATCTCTTTCAGACAGAATATGCTGAAGAGTGTAAAAGATACTAAATAAATCCAATGAATTTGATTTGTACAATATTTGAGATAATTTAATCAGTAGGGTCTATTGTATTATGTGCAGGAGGATGTACTTTCTGGTGGGCATGGACTAATGGTGCAGGGTTATTATCCTGTAATACAGGCATTGGCTAAAGACATAGACATCCGTTTGAGTCACAGGTTTGTCATATTTAACAAAAAGGGAAAGTAAAATCATGCCTTGTTTTTGTCATGATCATATTTTTTACGTCTCTTTTTGTATTGCCCTCTCCAACACGGTTTGCTTCACCTGTCTCTATTTATTATGTACTTTAAACCCAACAGTACTAACTGTTACCCTCCTATTCGCTTTCAACAAAACAATGATCAAGGGAAGGGAAAATCGAAGAATGAACACAACCTGAAATTTTAACTTTTTGGTTCATCCTGCTGGGTTGTAAATTGAACATCTGGTCTACTTGGTTATAATCTTTAGTACTCCGAATATGAAGATACTGGATTTATTACTGATTTGTGCACTTTGAGTTAGTAAGTGGTGCAAATGATTTGCCGTGGTTGTAACTAGTATTAATCTATATCTTTGCTCAACAGGGTTGTAAGGATTGCAAATGGGTATAACAAGGTAATGGTGGCAGTTGAGGGCGGGAGAAGTTTCATAGCAGATGCAGCTATTATTACTGTACCCCTTGGGGTTCTCAAAGCAGATTTGATAGATTTTGAACCAAAATTGCCTGAGTGGAAGGTTTCTGCTATAAAAGATCTTGGTATGGGGAATGAAAATAAGATTGCGCTTCGGTTCGACAATGTCTTTTGGCCAAATGTGGAATTGTTAGGCATAGTTGCACCCACGTCTTATGCATGTGGTTATTTTTTAAATCTACACAAGGCAACAGGACATCCCATCCTCGTCTATATGGCTGCTGGAAGCTTAGCAGGTGATCTTGAGAAGCTATCGGATGAGGCTGCTGCAGATTTTGCAATGTTGCACCTGAAGAAGATGTTTCCCAATGCAAGTGAACCAGTAAGTATTCTTTAGTCTATTGGGCCTCATTTGATAGTTCTACTTAATTTGCTTCCCAGTAGAATAGGCAAAGTTGTTAGAAAATCAAAATGAAAGCACATTTGTTAGTCGAAAGAGATTTTTTGAATATTCTGCTTGTATCAGCACAAAATTCAGCTGTATCAGCCCAATGACCGCTCCCTACTGGTCTGAAGTAGCCTTTGGCTTAAATCGATTTTACCAATCACTCTCTTTGCTAACATGTATTCCTGTGTATGTTAAATGGAGGTGTGCCCTTCTCCCCTGCATAAACCTTTTCGTAACGAATAGGTGTATGATCCCATATTCCCCTGGTTTTACCCATTGTACTCTTATCCTAATCTTCTTGGATTATTATTTGGTATAAAATTTGTGAGGTGGGGTGGGGGGTATGTTTTTGGGTTTTCATCTGTTTGATGAACTTGTGCGCACAGGTTCAGCATCTGTTTTCACGGTGGGGGTCGGACCCGGATTCACTGGGAAGTTACTCATATGATGCGGTTGGAAAGCCAACAGATGTGTACGACAGGCTGCGAGCCCCCTTAGGAAATCTCTTCTTTGGAGGCGAAGCGGTTAGCATGGAGCATCAAGGGTCTGTCCACGGCGCCTACTCAGCGGGACTCATGGCTGCGGACAACTGCTGCAGCCATATTATCAAGAAGAGGCTTGGGAGACTGGAAATGATGCAGCTTGGCTCTCTCAGGGAAGACATTCTTGAAACTGCAGTTCCCCTCCAGATCTCCAGGATGTGATGTGAATCCAGCACTACTACTACTTGTACTGGCACTTTATATGTGTAATTGTTTAACCTAATTGTTCCTATGATGACATTGTGGAATCCATACCAAGAATGAAGCTTTGCAAATAATATAAATCATCATGCCTTGTTTTTCCTTTTATATTTCTTGTGTTTTGGGGTCAAATGTGGCCAAATGCGTGGAATCCACTCATTGAAATCGATTAATGTCTATTGATATTATTAATCCCCAAACCCATTAAATTCTAACAGTTGGACTTTCGTAATATATTTTCATTATAAATCAATATACTTATAAATAAATAAGTGTTACGGAGTACTCCGTATGATATATCAAAATTACGTCTTAATATGAATCAAATTTTATAAAATTTATATTACAGAATATAATTAAATATATTTTTATCACAATTTATGACACAACATATAAAATTTGAGCCAAGAAAAATCCAAGAATAAGAAATTTTATGGCATATAGAATGTACTTGCTTGTGGTAGGATATTCTTTATTTTGTTCAGTAATATTTTTGCTTTTTACTCTATTCGTTCCAAATTAAATTATCTGTTTACAACTCATAAGATCAAACTTTATTACTTTCTTTCTTTATTTTCGTTAAATATTTTATAAAATAATATAGTCATGTCACCACTAATTTTATAACTGTTTTGATTAGTTTTTAAATATATAATTTTTATTTTTAAATTTTAAACCATTTTTTAATAAACTAATTTAAAAATAATTTCAATAATATTATGTGCATGTAAAAAAAAAGAAGAGAGACGGAGTAAGAATTGTAAAGGGAGTGTTGGTTCATTGGTTCTTTTCTTGAATTTTCTTTTCTTTACTCTTTCTGAGTTTCTTCCCCCATTTCGCCTTCTGCAACACGTCTTTAACCAATTTCTTCCCAGAGCTCATCATCATCATAACAACTCCTCGTTTAATAATATTACGGAGTACTGTTGAAGCGAAGAAGAAGCGTCTCATCTGCTCTACTGTCTTCCTCCTCTTCACCTCTTCCGATGGCGTCCGGCGGTCACCAGAATGTCAACGCAAAACTCGTGAGTCCATTGTTTCTCACATGAGCTCTACCTTGCTGTGCACAATCGACTTCATTTTTGAACGATTAACATATCGAATCTGATCGCCAGGTATTGTTGGGTGACATGGGAGCTGGAAAATCAAGCCTTGTGTTACGGTTCGTCAAGGGTCAATTTCTCGAATTTCAGGTGATTTTTTGTTGTTGTTTTGTGATTGGGTTTGTTGAATAAAATCGATTCTCCGTTTTTTATAGCTAAAATGAAATATAATCAGTTCATCTGAAAAAAAAACAATTGATGATTTTTTCCTGCTCGATCGCATCGATTGTAACGACGATTTGCAGGAATCGACAATCGGAGCGGCTTTCTTCTCGTCTACCGTGTCGGTGGACAACACCACAGTGAAGTTCGAGATCTGGGACACAGCCGGCCAGGAGAGATACCACAGCCTGGCCCCGATGTACTACAGAGGTGCCGCTGCTGCAATTATTGTCTTTGACATTACTAGCTCGGTAATGGTCTATTTCTCAACACAGAATATCATTGTGGGTTTATTATTTTTAAGAATAGATGTTTCAATCTCTGAACTAGTATGTGAATCATTGTAAGTTTTTGCAACTCTGGCTGGAGCTGTTTGCTTGACTTGACCAGCTAGCTTTTATTGTATAATCAGCCTCTGTTGAATAGAGTTGTTGCACTTAGTAAATGCCTTTACAACTACTACTACAACAAACCCAGCAAAATCCCATGGATGGGGTTATGAGGAGGGTAAGATGTAAGCAGACCTGACTTATCCCTGAGAAAAGTAAAGTGTTAAGTGTTTCCAGTAGACCCTCATCTCAAGAACAAAATCAAAATAAATTGGCTAGGAAGATATCAGATAGCCACGGGAAGAGTAGAATAAAACAACAACACAAACTTACATGTCTAAAGAAAAATAGTACTCCATATTTTTATAAATATTAAGTGCTAAGAGAATCTTAGGTAGAGGGATGTTGGAGTTCAATAGTGATGCAATGATGATGGTGCGAAGAGTCAGGCAAGGGTTGCAGAGCTGATGCATCCAGTCTCGCAACCAAGATTAGGGAATTCTTATGCATCAACTATGTTATTACAGGAGCTGCTCTTTTCATCATGGTTTCTTGACTATCACATTATACTAAAGACTGGATAAGTAGATTTCAAAATGGTAATTTTGTTTTAACTGGACTAGTGGATTTTAAAATGGTAGTTCTGTTATTTTTTTTGTATGAGTGATTGAGAAACTTGATAACTTCATATTTATAATTATGAGGTGGGGGGTTTTTCTTTTTCTTTTCTTGGCACAGGAGGTTGACTGAATCATCCTGCTTTTTTCTTCTAGCTGTTATTTTTTTATTTTGAACATTTTTATTTACCCTCATTCAAATGAAAAATGAGATCTTTAGTGTGACTAACATATGCTTCTGGGTTGTTATAATAAATTTTAATTGTTGCTAAAATATAGGATTCCTTCGAACGTGCAAAGAAGTGGGTCCAGGAATTGCAGAAGCAAGGTGCTCAGCCTAAAACTTACTGATGCATGAGATATCAATTTTTTAAAAATGATTTGGGTACTTGCATGTTAGAATGCTGTTTATGTATGGTTTGGTTGATGAAATGTTGTTTGTTAAAGAAAATTTTAAATATAAAATAAAATAATGTAAAGGAGAACTTGCTATGTTACTATATTTCTCTCCTTCTACACCTTACATTTTTCTGGTTGTTAGTAAAAATAATCCAAAATATATTTATCGATGTTTGCCAAAGCATAAAAGAACCTCAAGGCTATTTTCCTTTCAAGTTCCAATAGGCATAAGCCTCAAGCCATAAAAGAGGTGTGCACTTTGTAGAGCTTAATTGGGACTTGAGGTGAATTCCTTCTAACATTTGGAGCCTTTGAAGAGTTTGAGCTGCTAAAAGTCTTCTCTTTCTCACTTTTTTTTAATTACTTTTTGTTACTTGAACTCAGAGGCCAACCTATACCCTAATACTTTTGTACTAATTTTAAAATAGAAGTGAAGTCAGCACTGCAAGCATATGATTCTACCCTATGCCTCAACTGATTTTCAAAACCATGTTATTTATCTATTTGAAGGTGGAAAAATAGTTATATGCCTTCTGATCTTTTTTGCAGGTAATCCAAACTTGGTTATGGCACTTACGGGAAACAAAGCTGATCTTGAAGATAAGAGGAAGGTCACTTCAGAAGTAAGAACATTAGATCTTATTAGTATTGTGTTTTGTTTAGGCTCTGTTAAGTTTCAATTGTTCTGTCACGTGCTTTTCATGTTTGTTAACAATTAGTGGTTTTGTAGGTGGCAAAGGTATATGCTGAGGAAAATGGTCTTTTCTTTAAGGAAACTTCTGCAAAAACTGCTCTCAATGTCAATGATGTTTTCCGTGAAATAGGTAACATTTCCAAATCAATGATATCATTAGCATGGAAATGTGCTATTGTTTATCCGTATTTCTTAATTTTATAAATGAATGAAAATAAAATTCTTTTTGTGTAGTTGTACTTTGTTTTTTCTTTGTTTTTCTTGGTGATGCACTCAACATTGCTAGCAGTTGTTTGGTTGACAAATAATGTTGGGTAACAACAATTCATTATGCACAATACTACCTGGCCTCATTCAACACATCTTTTGCCTTGTATGTTGTGATATCATGTTTTGGTTTGTGCATTTCTTCACGTTTTATCCTGAATAATAGATCTATTCACTCCATTAGACTGTATATCCTACTCAAATAAAGTACGGAGTACTTTTTTATGCCAAAGGTCCTAAAAGCTCTACTCACTGGACACTATTGCATGTGTACCTGCACGAGTCTATAATGTGCCATGTTGTATGAACCTAGGTGCTTGATTTTTCTTTCATCCTCTACTCATAAACCTGAACTCCTGAAGGGCACATATGGAAATCCTGGTGCCTGGCGGGCAATGGTCTTTAATTGAGTCTTTAATAATGATTCCTCTGCTCATGAGTATTCACCCGGTTTGATCCTCAGCCAAACAGGAGGAACTTTAGTTCCTTAATTAAATAAAAATTGCATTGCGTATTAAAACTAACATGATTTCATTGTATTTATATTGCAAGAAAACTATTAAAAAGTTATTTTCTTGTATTGATATGAATTGAAATCTTGATCTACTCTTGTGGGATTCTACTGGGTTGTTATTTTCGTTTAATTATCAAAGTTCATTTGTATGTGTCTGTGTGGCCATTTAATAGGAGTTTCTGGTGACAATGAATTAAGGCTGTAGAGCCTTTGTGGGGCTGTGCGAGGTGGAGGTGTGACGAGTCACATGCGTACATCTTGCTCCCACCTCAACCATCTCCGAGATCCCACTCTTGAGTGAGACATATTGAATTTGTTTGCTTTTGTTTTGATAATCCCATCTTAGGATCAAACCCACACAGACACAAAACTAAAAATAGTGGTACGAGGTTGAGGTCATAACTATACTTGTACATACAATCCAAACCAATTCTAAAAGAATTAAGATTTGGCTTTTAAAGTGATCTAAATCCTCAAATAGCCGACATAAAATACACTTTCATTATCCGTAAGAGTGAAGATGTAATGGAGCAAAAGATGTGCTTACTGAAGTATGTACTTCTAGAATATGTGCCATGAGAGTGGGTGAAAACTCATGGCGCGGCTCTTGTCCATTACTTGTAATTCTTGTATCCGATTTACTTTTCAAAATGGTTTGTGAAATGAATCTCACAAACTCCCCGTTGTAACTTATTTATGCTATTCTTCCCTCCCGATAGTCTTTAGAATACTTTAACTCATTCTTGTCATTTTTTGCACTTCCAATTTTATGTTAAAAATACTTACAGGTATTTAATTCCTGCACTTTTTATTATTCAAAATTTATTACTATTAAGAAAAGAATATTTTCAATTTATTTTGTGTTGTTCAACTTTACAAATTAGAAGTATCTCCTATATACGTTAACATAATTATTTGCAACTTGTACATACAATACTAACATTTTTACTCATAGTATCAATTCTGCAGTTGCTTCCTTGGCAAATTATAGTAAATGGAAAAAAGTAACTTAAATGTATCATTACTCGAATGCTCAATAGGACAATACTTGCTCATCATTTTTTGTTAATGGTGCTATGTTAGAATGGGCAAATATATCAAATTTGAGAGCAATGAGTTCTCTATTTGTGAAGGTGGTCCTTACCAAGGCTGGTCTTGGGTATTAATCTTAAGGGGCTCATCACGTCCCCACCACCACAGTTGATACTCTTTGACACAACCTTTCTTGACATCATAGTGTTCAACAGACAATAAATGTCTTTGCGGGAATTATCGGTGTGTCAATGAGACACTATGGTGTCAAATGTGAGGTTCTCCTAGCATGACTCTTGATACTACTCTGTATTATTTACTTCTTGAGTTATAAATGGCTGATGTTTGTGCAGCTAAACGATTGCCTAGAGCTCAAACTGCCCAAAATCCATCGGGGATGGTTCTTGTAGACAGACCAGCAGAAGGAACTCGTTCAGCGTCATGCTGTGCGTAGGCACTGTCCTCTTTCATCGTTGCATATTCCGATTGAACCACCGCTGCCACCCCCTCTACTTTTCTTCTTTTTATAGAATTTACATTTAGGGTACATGTGTATGACTTACTGCAGTGTCTGATAGAGTTGGGTGCACAGATCCATAGGTTCTTCAATGTTGTGTAGTAATACTTTTGTGTCATTTTTGTTGTTTTGAACTTATTCACGAACGTTGTTTTCCATGTATTTGAATAATTGACAAATAAGCAATTAAGCATGCATACTTATCACATTGACAACATCTGCCGGCGAGTATTGGGCCATAGTCAATTATCTTTGGAAAGTCTTGCGCACAAGATACGTAAATAATTCTATAGTCATAAGTGGATTGAATTCGGCTGTAGATTATAAATATTGTCTCTAGTTGGAGGCATACTAAGAACAGGGTCGGTTGCGCGACGCTATCATAATTTTATTTATAAATTTTTATAAAAATAAGAAGTATTCCGAATAATCACATTATTCAAAATTATGGAAAAACATTTGTAAACAAGATGTGATAAAAATATCTTATTTTTTATAATAATCAATGAAAACATGTAAATGTACATTAGTTATTGAGAAGGATTATAGTACTTTCTTTGTCTCATTTTAAATTGTCTTTTTTTCTCTGTCGTAAAATAAGTTGTATGTTTCTTGTTATCGTAAATTTTTATGAGTAAAATACCTAAACTACCCCTAAAATAAGTCACTCTTCTCCATCCTACCTTCTCATTCATCGTCACTCTTCCTAAAAAGTAATGACAATTTTGAAAAGTCAACTCTATTTTTTCTCATCTTTAAATATGTCTTAAAGTCAAAACAGACGATTTAAAATGGAACCGAGGGAGTAAATGAGAAGAAAGATATAAAATGGGAGGAGTAATAAAAAAAGGTATAGCTAAAGCTACACTTGATTTGAATATATCCACCCGATTTATATTAAAAAATGCAAGGTTATTCTCAACTAATTCAAAAATTGAAGGAAAGAGGTGAAGAGCAATTTATTTATCTATTAAATAAGGTGGATTTAGCCAACTGAGGTGTGAATTTAAGGTCGGGACAATGCTAAGTGATGGATATAACCCACTGGTACCACCCAGCAAGTTCACAGGCACCCGGGGATACCGAAGTCTGGCCGTCACCAACCCCGGTAGACTGACCGGGTGGATGTCACAAACGCATGAGAGATCCGAAAGCTGACCCCACATGACCTTACCAACCCCGGTAGACTGACCGAGTGGATGTCGGGGGTCAGACATGTGAGATCGTGACTTCATTCGCAGAGAAGACTTGAAGACTGGTCGGCTTGAAGACTGCCCCGGTGGATGACTTGAAGACTGGTCGACTTAAAGACTGCCTGGATGCATGACTTGAAGACTGGTCGACTTAAAGACTTCCCGGGTGGATGACTTGAGATGAACAGTGATGGGTATTAAATCTGACACCCCATGACTTAGTCGACCCAGGCCGGGCAGTCTGACCAGTCAGGTATGAGAAGATTCGGAATCAAGAACATGACTTCGTCTGACAAAGGCATGCATATTGACTGGGTGAAAACTGACCGGGCGGAGGAACATAACGTCGAGACCTGATTATTCATTATTATAAATAGGAGTAAAAGCCTCATTAGTAAGGCATGCTTTAATTAATCCGCACGGCTTGTAACTTTGTAATCGGTCCCTACATTATTAATAACTACTCGGTTACAGGGGTATCCACCTACAATCCATCCGCTTTTCGTAACTTAGCTTTACGTTGGTTTTACACCATCAAATTGGCGCCACCCGTGGGACCTCTTTACAAAAAGAAGCCATGACGAACAACAATATGAAATCCATTATATCCCAAATTTCCAACCCGGCGCAGGGCGTTACCCTGATCCTGGGAGGAATCACATCATTACCTTCTCTTTTCTCCCCCATGATCACCACCTTCACTACTCAAACAATGCCCAGTCAGGCCCTCCAAAACTTTGGACAATTTATGCCAATGTTCCAACAATCCCGGGGATTTACTCTTTTCATCCCTGGGATGTATCCCCATGCTCTGGCTCACAATACATCTCTTCCCAACACGCTGGGGCATCCCCTGCTGTTTCAGCCGGCCATGGTACATATCCGGTCTTAGCGGATGATAAAACGGTTGTTCAACACCACTTTCTTCTTTTCCTCCCGATGAACTTTCTTCAAGAGCCTCTCCAAACGTTCTTCCGCCCTGTCCACCTGATCAAGATTCAGACCCGAGTGAGTGACGGGGTCACAATGGATTCGCTTAACTTGGCTCGGAGGACATTTCCAAGAATTCGCTTAACTCACTCGGATGACTAGAGCTCTTGTTCACCCGGATGAAAGAAGAAATGACTCACATGATTATCTTTGAAGCATAGCTTGGACCTGCTCTGTAAAAAACCCACCCGGGTGGCTTGTTTTCTACTCGGAGGAACAGTAACGTCGAGACCTGCTTGACGTGCTTATTCATTATTATAAATAGGAGTAAAAGCATAATTTGTTAGGCATGCTTTAATTAATCTGCACGGCTTGTAAATTTGTAATCGGTCCCTACATTATTAATAACTACTCGGGTTACAGTTGTATCCATCTACAACTCTTTCGCTTTTCGTAACTTAGTATTACGTTGGTTTTACACCATCACTAAGAATAGACAAAAATGGGGTATCGTATTTTTATAGCAAATAAAAAATAGGCACACACAGATATTCAATATTTATGTGTTCACACTCATAGTGTTCTGTGTCTATGTTTTTACTAGGTATAAAAATGAAATACCCATACCCTGGCTTTATTGGTGAATTTATCAGATAGAACAAGTAATATCATCCACGGGAGCTAGACTCCAAGTACTCCCTAGTCTGGATAATGCAATTATTTAAATTGAGTGGACGAAGAATGCCCAGCATCGGGAGCTAAAAATTTCAATAATTGTATCCAAATATTTTGGACCATGCTACGTTTATACCAAAATTTGTATCCTAAAAATTTGTACACCAAAATTTATAATTTATAAATTAATTTATATATATTCTAATATATTAAAGATTTGTGTACATATTTTAACATATTTTGTTAAGAGTATCCCACATTGAAAAAGTGTGAGAAAAACAATCGGTATATAAGCTCTTAAGTTGAACTAACTAATCGATTGGATTCAATTTTTTAATGTGGTTCAACCCAAGTGTCTTATTTCCCAATCCAGGGATCCCTACCCCATCCTAAATTCTTTCATGGTATCGGAGCAGGTTTTGGCCCACCTCGTTTGTCAAGATGTCCGTCTAGACGTTCATTCCTAGCGGTCCGTTAGTCTTTAGCCCAGTTGTCCGTATGGAGTATGTACTCAACGGCCTGTGGCCCGTTTAACACGATTGCTCGTCTGGAAGTCCATACCCAGCGGCTCGTGGTCCTTTAGGTGTTGGCGCTCAAAAAAAAAATCAAGGGAATGGGAGTTCATTTGCAAGTGGTCAACCGGTTGGATTCAAAATGACCCGGTTGTCCACTTGAGGGTGAGTGTTAAGAGTATCCCACACCGGAAAAGTGTGAGAAAAATAATCAGGATATAAGCTCTTGAGTTGAACTAACTAATCGATTGGATTCAATCTTTTAATGTAGTTCAACCCAAGTGTCTTATTATCCAATCCAGTGATCCCTATCCCATCCTAAATTCTTTCATATTTTAATATATTAATTTTTTGTGTACATATAAATTTATATATATTCGAATATTATAATTTATAAATAAATTTATATATATTCTAACATATTTTTACTAGATTTTACATTATTATAAAATAATAATTTAATATCTTTAAGAAATCTGTTTTAAAAAAATTCTAATATTTTCGATTTCGAATATTCGAATATGAATTCAAATACATCAAATATCTATCAAATCGAATACGAATGTTTTTTAAAATTCGAATTATATACGAATCCGAATTCGAATACATATACGAATCCGAATTCGAATACATATACGAATCGAAGAGTGATATATTTGCTTCGATTCGATTCGTATACACCCCTACCCCAAACTTACACCAAAGGTATACACCAACATTTTAATGGTTCACACTGACACAAGTGTTAGTATAACAAAAATTTACACTGACACAAAGTGTTGATGCGTTAACAAAAATTATACCAACACAAAATGTTGGTGTACAACTGCGGTGTACAAATCTTTGGGGTACAAATAGCTTTATCCAAACATTTTATTTTGACATTATTGCTTTCTACGTCATTTAATAAGGGGAAAAGGATCAAACTAGGAGTAAAACATATGCTATATCCTTAGAGTAAGAGTTGAAACTTAAACTCTCTAAAGTAGGAGTAATTAAATCAATTAATCTAATTAATCTTCTAATGCACTCCCTTCTCGTTGATTTCTTTCTCAATTATTGGCATTATTATTGTGTTTAAGTTTTCATTGAGAGAAAAATAATAGTGATTGAAGATTCTTTTTATACTTGTCAACCAACAATCCAGCATAAAAATGTGCAATGCCCAATTGATCGGACAAAAGTGGCATCTTAAAAGCCATAAAGAATATTGAATACCATTAAAAAAGCCGCCATAGAGGGGAGGATGCACCCTAATTGCATATTTATTTCAGCTCCTCAGATTTATTCTGAACAAAAAAAATATTTAAATTACATACTACATTTTATCCTTAAAGGTGCAAGTTCCAACATAGTTAAACACGAGACAGAAATACGATTTACACTTCTCTACAATTGTGTCATGCCACTGCTCAACTGTGCCATGTCGTTTAACTGTCAAAATATCCACCCATGGCTGCTCTAATGTGTCAGGCCACCGCCGGCACCCCATCCGCTGCCGATGATGCCACCGCCCGAGCTATGTGATGTCATAGCTTGCCGCTGCCATCTCCATTTGTCGGTAGGCCTAGTTTGGTCCTTAACCCAATCACTCCTATTCTGCTCCTAGTTTAGCCGCTTAATTGTTCCATGCTACCACCTGCGGCGTCGGCACCACAACTGCCACTGAAGATGCTGCCGCACCCGCCGCCAGTGCTGCCACAAGTTGCCGCTGCGATCTCCGTTTCCTACTGCTGTCGTCACCACTGCGTTTTGCCATTGTCAAGAAAAAAACATTAAATACAATGTCAATCAAAGCAATGTATAGTGGCAAACATGCCAATGCATAAAGATGAACATGTAAATGTATAATGTCAAAAAGAAAGTGAAAATGTTAAGGTTGCCAATTCTCAGTGTCAAGTTTCAATTGACTTTACTAATATTTGCCTAACTTAGAAACAAAAATCAAGTACCTTAATTAAGAAAAAGAAAAAATTGAATGCAAAACCCAAACCTCATTCCAACGAAGATGCAATTACAATATTTGTAGGCCATAATTTCACTGCTAAAGAAAAAGAGTTTTTAATACAACGCCAAACGAAGCCACAATGCCAAAGATGACAATGCATACTTGTAGAAAGGTTAATTTCATTGATTGAATATGTGGGAGTACATGTCTATATATACACAAGGATTCCTAATCCTATACAATGTAGGAGACAATAATAGGAAACAATATATTCCTAATCCTATACAAGGTAGGAGACAATAATAGGAAACAATATATTTACATTAAATATAGAATATATTTAACATGCTCCCGGCTACGTCGGATGAGGAGGGGGTCTGATACCCAGACTGGACTTAAACTCGAGGAAGAGTAGAGAAGGTAGTCCTTTGGTGAAGATGTCAGCATACTGTGAAGAAGAGGGCACGTGAAGGACTCGGATATGGCCGAGTGCGACTTTGTCTCGCACAAAGTGTATGTCGACTTCAACGTGCTTGGTGCGCTGGTGCTGAACTGGGTT